CTGAAGATAATGTTTCCCACTTGATTCTCAGGTTGCTTCTATCGCCAGGTCCTCGCATGATATATTCCATCGTTTACAGTGGAGGGTGCTAACAACAGCTCTATGCCTTTCTCAATGAGAACGCCCATTACAGAGCGTCGCACATTAGATGATACAATTGTCAAATCGATCACTGACTTTCATTCACAGGCTTCTTATACCAGGTATACTGATGCACGCTTCAATGCTCAGAGTCCACTGTTTACATAAACGCAACAACTTCGTGCTGTTATTGCTGATGTCGCTAAGGCTGTTCCTTCCTATCATGCCTTTCGACTTTTCAGGGTCTGTTATGACTTGCCCATCAGAATGATGGATTCTGTAGTCCGTATTTCATACAGAGCACCTACTTCCTTTAGGAAGGACTCATATTCTCCTTCAAAATTGGGCGCATAGGCTTGAAACAAGGTCAACGCTTTATCCTGTTGTAGCTTCAGTCAGAGGATTGCCACTTTCCGTTGGCAGGCTTCCATTCAATGATTCTAGTAGCCAGGTTGGGTTTTACCAGAACACCAACACAGGCCTGGGCGCGCGTCGTGATGTCGACATTTGAGTCAAATACTTTCAACCAGAAGTGGTTCAGAAATCCAAAGCCCCGGCAATTGGTAGAAGAGAGTCGAATCATGTCGAGTCGGTAGCTTAAAGCCTCATCAACTAGCTTCTGCTCTTTCCATCTGAGTGAAATAATGTTCCAGTTTCCGGCTGTGAACTAACTGCCGGTATCATTCTTGTACAACCTTATCTGTGGTGTTACAATGGCATCGCGTTGTCTGCCTCCTCCGTTCAGAACGGGTAGCGACTCCGTTGCTGATTGGTATCTTCGTCGCCGTTTCGTCGATCTTCGGCAATTACTGTCGCGCTGCTACTCATCCAGCTGCGTGAAATAGGTTTTGACCACTGACTTTTCGCGGCCTCTTTTTGTTCCCCAAAAGCCTGCGCGACCCTTACTAACCTGGTGACCACTGATTCGGGTCAACTTTCCATAACTGCAATACCATGAGGGCCTGTGACTAAATTTTACGCGAGTACTTGGCACGGTCCTCAACCTTCCTTTTTTATCATCTGGTAAAAAGTGAAAACCAAAACAAGTCATCAATTTGACGTCTGCACTCCACCTGTACCTGTACTGGAGTAACATAGTGAAGAAAGTGCGTCTACTCGCAGCAAACATTCGCACAACAGAAAAATCATTTTGTGCTGGTACTCTCAATATGGTACCGCATAAACACTGTAAGTTGCTCATACACCAGAGTATATCAAATAATGCATGATTCCTCCAATACCAGACTTAACAGCGTATTGCATCCCCCCTTATGCATCTTATGATGTGTCCGCAATAGCACATACGGAGTACCAGTTTCTGAAACAACGTTCATTTTCGTTCATTTTGAGTGATGGTGGTTCTAGGTGGACTAGCGGACGATGTGACATGCACCTGGCACTACAGTTTCTCAAAGACCACAGAACC